GGAACACGTGGTTAAGACCGGGTGCGACGACCTGAAGAAGGAGATCATGAAAGGTATCAGCGGTATAAATGATCGTGTAGCTGCTGGTGCGATACTAAAGTTCTACAAAATCTACCATTTTGTAATGAAGGACTTGGTGCAGACCAAAGTGAATGATGAGGAGTAAAGGACGACATAAAAGATTTGTACTATCGTATGAATGGTATTGCTTTTAGTAGAAAAGGAGTTTTTATGGATGATAAGGGCCTAGCGAAGAAAATGGTGTTGGTAGATGCATTCGTTCTACGAGGTGTTTGTGTACGCCATGAAAATAACTTATTCTGCGTTGACATGACAAGATTGTTTTTAACAGTTTATGGCTAGGCACGCCCTTCTACACCACTTTTAATGGCCCTTTCCTTTCTTATGGCACTGTGAACGATCCCTACAAATCTGAAAAGTATGTTTATCTCGGTGTTGTTGTATGAGGAGATAAATAAACGAGTATTGGTGACGAAACATCAACCTCACGTATAATATCCTTTGTTCCAAGCCCTTGGAATCAAAGTGATTAAATTGTGTTGCCCCTACCTCACATAGAATGCTTAATGCTAACAAACTGTATTTTATTCCATCCTTACTTCACAAATGTATTCATTTACCTCAACATACATATTTTATTTTTCTTCTTTCAATAAATCGTTATCTATCTTCTCGCATACCTACAATCATTTTTCTGGTTCACATTTTTTCTAATTAACTCAAATTTGTGTTCCAGTTCGCAGTACCCTTTGATGAAAATCGACAATAACACGTTCTCAATCCCAAAACGAATAGAAGTAGCAACAGAACATTCTCTCATAGAGAGTACACCGCTCACCACCCTGGAAATAGCATGGAACAAACTATCTGACCATTATACAGCCAAGGCAGAGCAGGAATGCACACAAACAATGCAGGACAAGCAATTCTACAACTATGTATTGAACGGGAAAGTGGAGATAGAAACTGCGCTCGTGAATTACGACCTGATACGGCAGAAGGTGCTGTCACTGCGCGAACGAGGCGATAGTGGCGATGATAACGGTGCTGTTATAAACTTTAAGGACTACTGTGTGCGTGAGTGTATAAATACGCTCAAATACCAGCTAGAAACACTGCGAGCTGCGATTGAAGAGCGGCGCAATGAAGAAAAGGTGTTGCAGCTGTTCACGACCTTCAAAATAAAAATAGAGAACCATCGTATACTCGTCAAACTCACAGATAAGAACGTCATAGATATTACGAACAAGTTAAAAAATGATGGATGCGATAATTTCCGGTTTATTCTGCGCTCGCTTGGTATTTCCAATAAAATTGTTATTTCGTGCGATTACGAGAGAATGCACTTTGAGATGGTGCACGACTTAAAGGATCTCAGCGAAATTAGGAAGGCGCTGGAGATAGCGGATAAAAACATTACGGCGGGCAAGTTGAGTATCGTAGTAGAGAGCGAAGAAGAGCACAAAAAGAGACTTAAATCGAAGAAAAGTAGCTGTGGAGATAATGTGAAGGCCACGCATGCAAGAATTGATGAGAACGAGGCCTTAGCAAATGAGGATGGCAGCAAAATTGGGGATGAGTCTTCCATAGAGAAGGCATCAGAATCACAACTCTTGGGTGAACCATCCAAGGATGAGGTTGCAGATCCACAAAATAACAAAACAGCGAAAAATACTGCGAACAACGAAAAAGAAACGCGTAAAGAGTCGTTCGGATCGAGTGATATAAATATACCCGCTAATTCACGTATAAGCAGCAACAGGTTCAACCACCTAATATGTAATTTTATATACAAGGCACTCATCCACAACACAGAACCATCCTACATTGTTGAGAGGGTGTTTATTCTGCTCTCATATTACATTGCTGTGAATTTCTACGAAAGTAACAAATTTGTAAGAATTACGCATGTAAGCGGAAATACACAGGTCATGTTTTTCATACGAAACAAGGACAAGCTAAGAATAGAAATAAAGGATCAGAAGGAGATAAAAGTATTTTATAATGAAGGACGGGTGATTATGTGGTAGTAAATATTAAAAATATATGTTCTATAGGTATGCACAGTTATTGTTGAGTGCTGTTTTAGTATTGAGTACGGTACAAAACAAGTGCTGTACATAATACACTTCCAAATCAAAGGCCTGTTCACTTTCCCTAGCGATTTAAATGCTGTATAAATCATTTTCTGGCTGCACTTTACTTTCCTTTTTATGCTCAGATGGCGTATTGCAACGATTCTTCGGTATCAAATCCAATAAAAAGCAACCGTTTCACTTGCTTTTCATGAAAAATAATCATTTGCTAGGCAATTCATCATTGTTGTAAGAGACCGTTTCTTTGCTGTGATATGAAACCGTCATTTTCAACTTTTTTTGCATTAGATGGCATCGTTGCGTATCGCATGCTTTGGTATCTGTGCTGTACCGAGTGGCAGGATAGAAAGATTTTTTTAATCCCATTGTGCGAATTTACACCTTATGAATTAACATGTAAGATACGTATCGGTAGGTTGGTAAGGTATTTAATGGTCAGGTAAATTTACCTGAAAGGTTATGAGAACGCGACAACCATCTTGTGCACACTCGTTCACATGAATTGCAACAAGAAACAACAACCGTACAAAAAGCGATACCATAATTAAACCTAACTATCCTCAGGAACAATACCTCAACCACTTCACAGTTCCATTACCACAATCGATCCAAAGAACAACGACCAGGTACTCCTCAATTACACAACCAATTTCTCAACTGCCCTCAATTCAAAAATCAAGCATCTATAAAACATTATAACTTTATCTAATCTAAACAATAAAAATTACTGATTCTTAAAGAGCACGTCTATAGCACCATCAACATCACCCCCGCACTTGCCAAGCGCGCTCGCAATATCGTTAATGTTATCAAAACCGTACTTCCTTATTTCACTAATTTCTCTGCGATACTTGACAAAGAAATTTTCGCTTTTTTTCTTCTTCCACACATTCGGTATTACCTTCCGTTGCACCTCCTGGTTACCTGCACACACACTCACCCCGTTATTCTGCGCAATAAGACCGGTAAGCGGATCGCGTACATCCTTTATCATGCTGTTCATCATATTAAACCCGCCCGGTATGTTCTCAAGCTTGCTCATCGCTATGTCCACATTCTTGAGCTGCTGACTCATATAATCCGGATTATCGGCCAGCTTTTCAAACTCCTCGATCGCGTTCGGGTTGTTCATTATCATTCTCAGTTCCGGATTCTTGTTGATCTGTTTCTTCAGTCCAGGAAAGGATTCAAGCATTCCCTTCATTACCTCCGGATTCTTGAGCATGTTTTTCACCATCGGGTTCTTCAGCATCTGCTCGGTCATGTCGCTCTTCTGCCCAGGTTCAACCTCCCTACGTCTTCTCTTCAGGTACACCACCGCGTTGTTCTCTATTTTCAGCTCTTTTATCGTTTTCTTATCGTCCGTTAAGTACCGGTTGTTGTAGTACACCGAGATATCACTTGCCGGGGTATTTATACGCTTCGATATTTTTTCCTTTAATGTGAGCAGAGTTTCGTGCACGTCCATGAGGAGCGGCATGCGGTTGTTTTGAAATTGCACTGTAATGGTAATTTGCATGGCAAGGGTATCGTTTTGTTTTTTTTGATTAGAAATGAAAATGGTGGACCAATGAGAAGATGAGAAAAGGGAAAGATGAGCGGTAATAGGAGAAAGAACGGATGAGCATGATAAGGAGGGTTTAATAAAATGGTGATTGGTTGGGATGAGAATGGTATGGATGAGAATGGTATGGATGAGAATGAGTGTGGATGAGAATGAGTGTGGATGAGAATGGTATGGATGAGAATGAGTGTGGATGAGAATGGTATGGATAAGAATGAGTGTGGATGAGAATGAGTGTGGAGAAAGAAAGGTAAGAGTAACATAAAAAATGAAAATTGGAACGTATTTAAAGGGCAGCATTGTGATTGGCTGCACGGTGTATAGAACCGGTAAATTAGTAAATATAAGACGGAGAGGTAGGAATGATACGGAACAAAAGTGGTAGAGCATGTGATAGAGAAACGGTATTTTTTAATAAAGAACAGCAATGTGACAGGACCTGCAGTGATTTGTACTATTCATTTTTTGTTTGCTATGTGATAAACACACCTTTCCGTTTGGCACTACTGCTGATACCAACTTAAATAATATTTATTTAATGCATAATCATGCATTAAATAACAATTGAGTAATCACTCGTTTTACGGCAACACCGCTCTTCAATAATTAAAATTAATGAATAATTCCTTTTTTGATGCATCAGCATAGCCATCGCCGATCAGTGCAATAACAAAAATACGTGTTGATCACAGTGTACGCATAACCAATGATAGGTTACTGCTCCGTTTTGTGCACCAGTCATATCGAGCAGTGATCCGTTGCAATATCATTTTTGATTGGTGTAACAAGCTCAGTTTTATTTCCTGTTCAGTACGCGGTCAGACGAACAAATCCTTGTTAATTGAGAGCTACACCACACGTTGTGCGCATGGCAACAGGGAGTGACACCTTCAGGCCAATGATAAGTTGAGCACACCGCACTAAAAGGATTGAAAGGCTTTGTTCCGAGTACATCACACCGTACTACATCAAAACACGGCATGTGCTGTGTAGGAAATTAAAAGTGCTTTGCTGAGCAGCAAAAATTTAGTGTTTGTTTCGGTTGAAGAGTCTGTAATTGTTGTTACGGGGATAGAACAGGAAATGAATGTTTGTTTGGGTGTTACTTCCGTAACGTAAATAAACAGCGGTGCTGTTGAATAATAATTTCCCATTCTTAACATGAAAGGATGTTCTAACACGTGCTGATTCGATGTTGCTTGTGCACTACAACATAACTATAAAAATAATTTATGGGATGGATTGTTTAATCGTGAGGTAAGGGTTGAAATTATTATTTTAATAATTTTTAGCATCGTAGGTAGGAACCGTGAAATGCTTTACCAATCAAAGATACTTTAAAAATTGCCATATCAGAATTGAAGAACTTATCCTCCCTTAAACAGCATTTAGCACTCTGCCTTAAGTTAAATTTAGAAGGTGCTATTCTTTGATAGCGGGCATCGCTGCTTTTAACGATTAATAACATGCAACAGTGCATCAACAAGCAGTTAATGACGAGCAGCACTTTTACATTCTGTCTAGCGAGAGCGTAGCTTTTACATCTTGATGAACGTGCAAATTCTTTACCAGAGGAGATAGACAGGTTGACTAGCACGCATCGCGTGCAGACCATAACTTTACAGAATAAGCATTTTAATTGAGCAGAACGTGTTCTACCACTTTGTTACCACGCGATTATTCCCTCGCTACACAATTATCCCCATTTTCTTGCATCGAATCTCCCCGTAGCATTCATCCTGCTCAACACTGAGATTGCCTTTTTCCAAATTGACCAGTAACCCGTAGAAAATATCGGCCTGCTCTTCTCTGCCCTTGCCACTCACTACCTCACCAAACACAAACTCATCCTTCTCGTACTCCACCACGCTGTTATCCTCGACAAAATCAGAAACATTAACAGCTTCATAATCATATTCAGGCACTGCATCATCCCTTCCCACTTCTATATCGCTGAGAATGTGTGCCTCTATTGCTTTGAGTTTGGCCGTGATGGACTGAATTATAAATGCGTCTTTAAGTGCCATAGGATGTGCTAACTGCATTCTCTTGTACTTGGGCTGTCTAAACTCATAGTTCCTGATTTCCGTTTCTGACCGCACACCACGTCCTACCTCAATCTCTGACGGGAAGGCAGCATCAACTTCGTGATCGATACCATCAACCATGTCATGGTCTATGATACTGCCCGCATCGTAGTTGTCCACCGTATTATCCATGGTATCTTCGTGGTGCAGCAACAGTTCATGATCAGCGATGCTGACCGGTCGGCCAGCATGTACCCCGCTCTGTTCGCGTCTGATGCGCTTGGCACTGTCTGTGTAGAACATTTCAACGATTCTCCTGCTTTCTTCAATGAGCCAGCGCATCTGTTTGCCGTATATCAGCGAAATACTGAAAAGTATTTTTGATCGTTCAAAAAGATCGTGCATGCTGTAATCGTGCGTGATTAATGGTAACAGATCTAGTTTGATGGACCGTTCCCTTGAAATTTTCCTGGAATTGTACAGTGAGAGAAGCTCAGGTGCTTGCATTTTTGGGCACATCAAATTTTTCCATTTTATCTTTTTGTAAATTTGGAGGTAAAGCGCGTTTTGAAAAAGGGGTGTAAAACGGTTAATCACGTTACAGCCATTTTTCCATTCTCATCGTACTATTTGGAGAATTGGATGGTAAAATTGCGTAAAATATTAAAGATTAACTTTTTAAACGTTAAAAAGTAAAATTATCACACAATAAAAATGAATTTATTGTTTATCCACACGGCGATAGCAGCATTACATTTAAGCAACACAGTGTAAGCATTTCATATTTCTGGTACGCCCTTTAAAATATGCTATGGTATTTTTACTCAGCTGTGCTCATTAGAGCAAATATCCGCTAAAACAGCTCTTCCATGTCAATACAAAATAATCCACCTTTAACAAACTTAACCAGAAAATGAGCGTATATTTTACCTACCACCCCAAAGGTCGGCAGTTTGCTCCTTTTCAACCCGCCAATTTTGACCCCCATGGAGTACTACAACATAGACACGCTTCTCGCGCTAACAAACAGAGTGACCGTAACATTCACACCACCTACCACTCTGCTCATTCCAGCCACCAAAACAACCTCAACACTCACCACATCTGCGCTACCTCTCTACCAAGTACTATTCTTCCTAAAGAATGGTCACTGTGTACTGTACGGCCCACTAGTACCGGTGAATATTATGAACGATTTAATGGCCTGTCCGGTACTTGTCAATCTGAACAAGCTGTACAGGCATATGTACCGGTTGGTTGGAATTATTGGTGAGGAGGGATGGACCGATATATTTAGGATTAGGATGGGAATGCTCAGCAGGCTTCTTTTTGCTGAGAATTTTTGTGAGGATGATTTGTTGATCTGTGATGAGAATGAGCGAGAAATTGTGCGGATGGGGATAGTAAGATTTAAGAAATTTGCCTAGCTGATCGTTATGGTGTGTTAACACATGCTTGGCATGTTTAGATAAATTTGTTGATTAGCATTTCTTGACCGTGTATATTGGTTCAGAACGGTGGTGCAATTCATGGAAGTGTTATACACAACGAAACGTTCCCGTAATTTGTGTGTAATTGCCGTTGGTTGAAGAGAACACATTTTTAACGATGGTACGAGAGGGACAGTTTTAACGGTTCTAATCATTTTGATCGGCAAGCGGTAATAAACGGACGGCTTTTAGCAAAAAAATTATTTTTATCCACAGCTTACCATCACAGTGCCATTTATTGCGTTGAAACGCACGTAATTATCTTACAGTGTGGAAACAAACCGGTCGTTACCATGATTAGGATTGACAGTAACAATTCTTGGTGTCTTTCACGGCATGTTCAATTAAAAACTTCCTCAGCCTGTGAGACCATTACAAACTGTTAAAATGCTAGTGGATTGAACACGTGCTACTCTAAACGGCAATTCAGCCCATTTAAATGGTGCATGTGAGCAGGAGGAAATGTACAAAACAGACTGAACTTGAACAAAGATGTGTAACTTTCATAGCTCACATTTACCGCACACAACTACCAAAATACACGTTTATTTACTTATTCTTGCATCACCCAGAAGAACATTCATCCACTCTGTTGCATCAATTCTTTTGATAACCGATTTTTCACTTTCATTTGCTCGTCTCATAAACGAATCAAGCACTTCTTTCATCAACTTTCCTTTCTTGATATTCCTGCCCGGCACTATTTTTATTGCGAATTTGTAGGCCTTGAACGTGTCCCAACTCCCGGCAATCGGAAGTGCCAAGCTTATATTATCCGTCTCTGTTGGACTGTAGGTGAACACGATTGGTATATCGTAGTTTGCGGCAGGAATGCTCTTTTCGGCTGCATTATCACCGTTTAGGTTCCCTGCAATGCTATCGCTCACCATCTGTTTATCATCACACTCAGGCTCTGTGCTTTGTCCATGATCTACATCGCTACCAATATGCATACTCTCAAGTTTGTGCTCCAAACCTTTTTCCAGTGCGAAGAGGAGGCCTACCGCATATTCAAGTCGCACATTATGTACGTAGTTCTTCTTCCCTTTCACCATAAATCCGCCTTTCGTCAGAAATTCACCGCTTGGCGCTGACTTGCTCACCTGTTCCTCATTCACATAGTACGAGTCACACACTATCCTATCCTTCCAGCAGTTCGAATTCACCATACACATTTGCGATGCATCCGTAATATCTTCTTCCTTCAAACCGTACACGTTCTCCGGGTTCGTTTGCAATCTTTTGATGCTGGTTACGCTGCTGCTCTCAGCATAGCCGGTATTCCGTCTTAAAATGTTCAGTTTTGTTCCGTCTACGGTAACAACGCTCCCGCCTTTCACGTCGGCATGGAAGAACAGCTTGAACTTCCTTTTATTGAGAGTTTCATTCTGTGTGGCGTTCTTCCCACCAAGCACTAGAAAGCCGTTTTGCGTGACGGTAAAATTAAACTTTTCGAACCAAAACAGTTCTCTCTTTTTGTACTCTCGCTGTTTCACAGTTGCCTTTTTCTCTGATATATTGGCAAGAATCGATTCCAAATTGTTCCGTATCTTTTCCCTCTTCGTTTTCTTGCTCTTCATTTGGTTATAGTAATAATTTACGTTTTTATCTATTGACAGCCTATAGAACAGAAGAACATCCTTATAACATCGTTTAGACATCTCACTGTTTTCTCGTTCAGTCATATCCTTTTCAAAATTTCCTTCACAACGGTCCTCTATCGTGTCTTTTGCCGCTTTAGCCTTACGTTTGCTTTTCTTGGTGTTATTTTCTCCAGAACTAACCGAGTATCGCTCACCATTTTCATCAAACATATTTCCATCATAAAAAATGCGCATCAGCACTTCGTTTTTCATAAAATCAACTTTTTGAATGCTTTCTCTGTACAAAGGATCTCTTTCCTCAGCTTTTTGCTTAAAAAACATCTCCCAGCTTATCTTGTTATTCTTCACATAGTTAAGTACCTTAAATACCCTGGAAATATCATCTCTTGCCATCCCTATTATAATCGCTGCCTTTCTCAGTTCATTTTCTTCGTTCTCAATTTCCTGTACATACTTTAGCTGTTGCATTCTTACCTTGTCTCGCTTACTGAGATTTACCTTGCTCTGCATCTTCTTAGAACCTGAATAAAAGGTGTTCACGCACTCGTTGAATGAACCGAATATCTTAAGATTACCTGGAGGATAACACTCAAGAAAATCACCTTCAGGATCAATCACATTGAAATCTAAGCACAGATAATTGGCTGCCTTTCCTTTCTTTTCAATTATAGCACCATAGTCTTTATTTGCTTTAAAAATTGTTCTCAAATTAGTGAAAAAGGCTTCAAACACTGCGATCTCATTTTCAGCAAGATTTTTCAAATCGACATTATTCATATATTCCTTGAAAGCTGCTGCCTTCAAAATCCTGTCATCTTTTTGTGACTGCTGTGCTATTTTACCACTTGACAAAGATTTCATCTCGCAATTTTTGTTGGTATTTTCAAGGTTTCCACTATTTCTTGCTCGTCCTATCTGTACTTTCAATATATTCCCAATAAATTCGTTTACCTCCTTATCCAGTCCCACAAAAGTGTCCACGCTTTGAAAAAACGAGTATCTGAAATTTAGCTGAATAGGATTAAAAACGTAATACGAGCCTTTCACCATGTTAAGTTCGCTCACAGGTCTAAAAATTTCAACAATTCTGTATTTGTTCATCACATCATAAATATCATTGAGATCGACCTTCTCTCGCTCAACAGTTTTCTGTGTTTTTACTCCTTTTACGATGCTCTCTCTCAACCTTTTCTTAACCTTACTTTCTTTTTTAGGTTGCTCCTCCTTTTTCTCATATATTCTAACCGATTTGTCGATCATGTTATCCGACTGCCCACTTCCATTCCTATCTATCACCATTTTTCCCGCTTCACCATCGTATATTTCAGTAATTGGCCCATTACCGCGATACTCTGTCCTTTCCAACCCATTTCTATCCTTCTCATCCTCCTCTCCACTATTTCGTTCACTCGCCACGCTCTCTTTCTCCAGCACAATCAAATTACCGGCTGCAAACATTTCCACCACCACCAGAAACTCACCCGCCTGCACCACAACCACTCTGTCAAAGCCTACCTGTTTTACACCTCCAATCTTTTTTCGCCGCAAACATGTACGCAGTCTCTTGCAGAAGAAACTAATCTCATTGCTAGGATACGTATCGGTCAGATGTATACGCAGACCGGCCTCAATCAGGAATATGTTTTTGTTGGTGCGGACGTAGAATGTTCGCTGGCCGGATGAATATATGTTTTGGATGTAGGTTGACTCGATTTTGGGATGCAGCTCGTTAACGGCTGTGCGAATGTCCAAGTAATTAAAACGCTGTTTCATGGAAAGGGTACGACAAATGGGTGTTTTATTCGTCGACTTATACGTTTTAGTATGAATTTATGGTAGAGTGAAAATATTTTGCAAATTTATAACGGTTCTGCTTTCCAGAGATGCACGATAGGTCTATAATTTGCTTCGTTGCTATCTAAGATGTGTCACACTATATTAACGTAAGTCAATAATTCATTAACAGCTATATTTGGCAGATTCATCGCTTTGACACGAGTAAGGAGCCATCATTTGCTCTATAATTTACAGTGATCCTAGACAGTGTGTATTCCTGGTAAGATGTAACAAATGACCTGTAGCGGAGAAAAAGATTTACTTGAAAAGCTGTTGACGGACTTTTCATCTATCATAAACGCACTAGAAACTCACAACTATCTAAGTTGACTGCTCCTTTACGAGAGGGCCGCCCAGCGATACCCTACGTGAGTAGCATTTGCACTTGCGTCGATTGGTATAATATGCCCTTTTGTATAAGAGTGTGGTAGTGACACCATTTTTAGTATTATTTGAGGTTGTGTGTTGTATAATGGTGCATTTCTTAGATAATTTGTGTTTGATGTAGAGTTTACTTCACAATTTGCTTTTTTTCCATAAATTACGTTTAATTTATCTTCTCATGCCATTTCATCCAAACATACACACTTTTTTGGTTCGCTAGGACCGACATTTTTAACCTCACAACCTGCACTAACACCTTTTTTACCGTTAACACACCGATCGAGAAGTAATAAGTGCTGTGGTGTTATCGTAACTCGTTGTTCACTAAATTTAATTCACTTATCATCACGGTTACTCCCTACAACGAATGTCCATGAAGGGTTCGTTGTGTCGGACAAAGGAGTGGCAGTTTAAACTGGATTAACCGTTACCCTGCAATCCTCTTTTCCGCTACATGAGATTCAAAAACCTTTGCACCGCATGCCGCGCATGTATTTTTGCACAAGAAGGTTACGTGACCTGGTGTTTTATAGGGAGAGATATAAACAACGTGAAAGACCAAACACATATATTCTTACCATTTTTCTAAACCACACTCAATCAACTACTGGTCCATGATATGTGAATAAGTTTATTTAACAAGAATAAAAGTGTTTGAGGATTAATTTTGCTCCTGATTTTCTACTGAGAGAAATTTCTTGCAACCTATTCTTTAATCTGTTACACCTCGGATACCTATGGTAACTCTCTGTCTACCACTAGATCTATAAATTAATACTACTCAAACACGTTCTTTGAGTTCACAAAAAAAACTCGTCCAACTTCCGTAAGATAAACCAAACTATTTCAACCATCAAGAAGGATCAAAAATTTTATTCCACACTTTCACGCAAAATAAAAGGTCAAAATTTGTTTTCCAATCTATTTTTTGCGATGCACTCGGTTATTCTTTATGAACTACATCATAATGGCATGATTACCAAACGAAGATTATTTCTTGAACTTCTACCAAAATATTGAAAACAAGTTAAAGTGATCAAGGCATAACATGGCGTATTAAAGGAAGGAAATTATTTAGTAATCAGTCAGACTCTATTCCTTTTTATAGGGGAAATAGCTCAGCTGTTTTCTTCTAAATAATCTGCCTGTTTGAGACTAAGCGCACTTAAAGTTTGGAAAGTACGCAAATCCT